ACTATTTTACTCAAACCAAACGACCATCACCATTTGATTAGGAAAATCCCATTGAAAGATTTTATAGTGGGTCGAGATCTATATTTTATTTTATTTTAAGTTAGCGTTAGGCTGATTTCACAACACTCGATTATTTAGGTAGGAACTCCTTCCAATTGTATCTAATGCAACTCTCGAATATTTTTAGTTGGGTGAATAACACCTTATCCTAATCCATCATATGGATTTTCCCAACTCTTGCTTCTAAACGTATATAATATTGTTAAAATTAGTTTAGTTAAGTTTGACCCAATATTTTAGCAATTGGATATTACATTTATTCCATCGCACCTTAATAATATAGAACATGCACCTCGCATTAGGCGAAACCTACATTATTTGATACTAGTCTTGATGAGTGTTACAACTTTGGAAAGCATAAACTTAATACTTCTTTTAAGGTAATTTGTAATTAGTTTGATCTCATTGGCTTGTTTATCATATAAAATGTCTCTCACATGCATCAACATACATAAAAAAATCTGAAACAGTTATGGCCCCTAACACAATTGTTCTCTCAAGCCAATGAGAGAACCTAAGCTAAACCTAATAATGATCTAAACTTCTCCAAGCAAGATCTCCAAGATTGTTCTCTTTTGATATTGTATTCTTCTCTTTCTTCATAATATTACATTACATTACATTACATAAAAGAATACTCGTTTTACATACAAGAGAGTGAGATGAGAAAAGAAGTTACATCAAGAGATTAAAAGAGAGACATGACACACAGGTCGTATTTTAAAATTCCAAAACAAAATTAAAAAAAACTAAAGTCATAACCGATCACCACAAGAAAATAGTAATAAACATATTTTTATTATTATTATTATTAATTTAAATTTTATTAAATAAATAAATTAAATTAAATTTTTGACAATTGATCATATTATACGGAGTTAATAGAAGTTTTCGCTCGATTATAAACGTATATCATATTACTTAAATAAAATAATAATATTTTATTATTATATTAATTAAATTATAACATGATAAACTCTATGTTTTCCTTCGCATGCTTTTCCATCCGTTATTGTAGCAAGCACTTTATCATTTTTTTAAGTCATAGTAATACGTTTAGCCAAACATTACATTTAGTAATCAACATTAGTTCACACAGCAATAATAGTTACAACTCTTTGTAACTTTTCATTACCGACACGCACGGCAGCACCAGTAACAGAAACAAACATTGACACATTTTTCTTTTATAATAATAATAATAATTATTATTATTATATTATAAAAATCACTTTTATAAATTTTAATTTTATAAACATAACTCTTGTGCTCTTATGAGTTCTAATAAAATACATTCATCTCATAAAAATGTAATGACCTATTATTTAATTTGAGTGACTAAAATGTCACTGTTTCATTATATAAATGTTGGATTTCGAATCAGAATGAACATTGATTATTTATATGAAATACGATCATCACACTAATTGAATTGATGAAATAAAAGGCATATCAAAATATATCGCAGTTGCATCCGAATTATTCATATCTTTTATGAAATTGATCAATCTCTTTTGTGTAATTTATGAATGATCAATGTATTGATGTTTCACCATACAGAAGTCTGATTCTGAAGCATAATCAACATCAATTCATTCAAATCATACACAACATGATGCCAAAATTTAATCTTATTATTATTTAATTTATTATGTGGTTTAATCAAATTAATACACAAAACACAGAAATTAAACAACTATTGGATCTTGATTTCGTAAGTGACTCTGATACTACTGAAGGAAAATTGTGATTCAAAAATACAACGATAATTAAAATTTTCCTTTAGTTGACCCTTATGAATGAGTATGATCAGTGATAGAAAATTACCTCTTGTGGTGATTAGTAACTTTGATGCAAAACCGGAATATTAATCACGAGCGTTGATGAAGAACAACGCCTCTACTCAGACCACATGAACAGACAATCTTCAATCTCAGTGCTAGCCGCTATGAATGAAGACTTTGAATGAGAGAGAGATATGGTCAGGGTTTCACAAACCTCATTTTCATCAAGTAAGAAAGCTTATGCACAAGGGTTGTATTTATAGAACCACTTGTGTGACCTACAAGCTAAAAAGCCCAACTTAAATGCACAATATAATAATAATAATAATAATAATAATAATAATAATAACAATAATATTATATTATTATGATAAATATTATTACCAGAGTTATTAATCCCGGATAGCGGAGCGGAGCGGCCGATCCTCGGAAATGGGAAAAGTGGGAATAGCGGGATCCCGGATAGCGGAGCGGAGCGGCCGACCCCCGAGAATGGGAAAAGTGGGAATAGTGGGATCCCGGATAGCGGGATAACTTTTTGTATACTAATAATTATATAATAATCTATATGCCATGTAATACTAAACTAATTTCACAACACTCATAAAATATTTATAAAATCTAATGTCAAACAAAGAACAATGCTTAATCAAGATTCAAAACATAAAGATTCAAATTCAAACTTAGTACTATCATATGAAAATTCAAGCAAACATAGAAATCATGTAGTATCATCAAAATATTCCTCCAATTCTTCATATTCCTCCAATTCTTCATCTTCAACTTCTTCAAAATATAAAGAAACGGTGTTTACAACAAAACAAAATAGAAGAAGTAGAAAGTAGAAAGAAACAGTAGAAAAAAAAGAAGTAGAAAGAAAAGAAGTAGAATAAGTTGAAGTAGAATAAGCTGAAGAATTAGAAGAAATTACCTGAGATGGCAGAAGGAGATGGAGGAAGAACCGAAGGAGAGTTGCAGGGAGATGGCGGCAGAATCGTAGAAGGAGAGTTGAGGAATTAGGGCACGATAAAACACAGCGAATGAGGGAGAAAGAAAACAAAAACTGTTTTAAAACAGAGACATTTAAGTAATTTGGGCCAGAAAATTGTTTAAAAAAAAAGAGAATCGGAGCCGCTCCGCCCGGGAACTTCCCGCTACCCGAGAACGCGGTTGAAGTGACCGCTTTTTCATCTCCGCCACCGCACCCTAAATAGCGCGCAGGGGGTGCCGCACCGCTACGGTGCACCGCGATAGCGGCTGGAGCGTCCGCTATTGACAACTCTGATTATTACAATAATTATTATTATAATAAACATATTTTATTATTATTATTATTATTATTATTATTATTATTGTTATATTTTATAACTATTATAAAATTTATAATAATAATAATAATAGTAATAATAATAATAATATTAACTATTATTATATTATATGATGTTCCATATTTCACTTAAGTACACCTTATCTTACGGTGTTCTATAATTATCTCAAGTATATTGTACTTAAGGTGTTCTTTATTTATTCTATCTCTCATCAATTTGTCCTTATGTGTGTGATCCTGTAGGTTTTCGCGACGTTGACAATTATATTAAATCACACATTGAACATAATAAACAGTGAACGATATTTAGCAACACATCACTGCTATCCAAGTCACAAAAATTCCATGTGATATGACAAAACTTTTTTGTGATAATGTTTACTGTTTTGCCTTTATGTTTATATTAAACACAAGGCTTCTACCGTGTCACCCTTGTCTAGTTCAATATTGGGCTCTTAGACATTTATCCTGTTACGCACGATGGACACATTCCATTTAAGTGACTCATGTCCCTCAACATGCTTTGTGAAGTACTCATCAACTGTCTCTATGATCATCTTGTTATAGATAACGTTTGATCAACATAAAGTACGTGAATCTACATCTAGGGTACAAAGTGGTTTCAGGTCGAAGGGTGGTATACACCATTATCACCATAAGAATAACTTATGACACTTGGCATAATATTCTATGTAGTATTCTCATAACGAGTCAATCAAATACAAATACTACTTCTAATATTCATACATATGTCAAAACTTGACAACTCTTTATCCATGATCCATGAGACGTGATCATTAGTCTATCTACATAATAATCTCAATGGTTTAATATTATTCCACTTCACAATAAAGATCGACTACTGATACTTTAAGAATAATGTCTTTATGTTTAATGAGATCTCATGATTAAGTCACACTTAACATTTCATTAAACATACTAACTATTCTAAGGACTTTATTATTTTTGAAAAACAAACAGAATAAATAAATGCCTTTTATTGTTAATAAATAATTCAATACAAGTATCAAGTTCTAATAAAACTGTTGGCATCTTTAGATTACACCAACAAGCCATGCAGGAATCAATGTTTCACCCTTCAAAGCATCAATACACTTCTCTTGAATTAAAATTGCTTACATCTTAATTTTCCACAACCCGAATTCATTGTTACCAGAAAATTTCTCGATCTCTCATCTACTAACCATGGTGCTCACTTGTAAACAATACCATTTTGCTCCAGCTCACTGCACCACTTGTTGTGAATCTTGTTGTTAATTATGACAAAATTCAATATCAATTTGTAAGGAAAAAAATAGTAGCAACCAAAATAAATGGTCTACAATAATAATTCGTACGCAGATAATATAACAGAATAAGGCGATAAAAATGCGAAGCTTTGTTTACACAGTTCGATTAAATGATCTACTCTGGAGGATGTCGCACCACAAAAAAACACAGATTCACCATCGAACTTTATTTATCCCGAAGGATGGGAAAATATCGAGAAGACCCCAAAGGAATGGATAAGATGGTATTGTATGAATTGCTTAAGAAAAAAGAAATTTTTATTATTATTGCGTCCGCTGCGATTGCAAACCTTTGTGCCTACGTATCCTCTTCGTGCAATGAGAGATTAGGGCACTCGTAGTTCACCTCAAAAGTTTTGATTTATTGTGTGTTTTTTTATGGATGATGAACCATTTGAAAAAGGTTTTGAGTTACACCCTCAAGGCAATATGCCACATTTGATTTGTTTGTATTTTGCTATTTCTAAAAGTGTTTGAGACACTCACAATACTAAAATCTATGACGTGAGAGACTTTTAGATGGTCGAGTCAGACGCCTCGTATCCAAAGTGCTCCACATGCTTAAGGCTCGTGACATATTTGTACACATCATATTTTTTAGGTGTCTTTGAATTTGTTTAAGAAAATGAAGTTTTAGTTTTAAGGATGCAAAAGAGGAATGAAAAGTCTAAGGGAGATTCTATTCCTAATGTTATCATACAATGATGGTCCTAAAATTATGATTGAAAGGAAATTATACCTAATGTTAGTATGCTTGATTTTAAAGCGTAATGTCTAATTTTAATTCATTTTAATCAAAGATTAAAATTGAATTAACATAAACCTAAGAAATCATGATATCACATAAGCAAGCAATCAATTATTTCTAATCATCAAGCATCACCAAAAATATCATACAAAATTTATATCAAGCTTTGCACCAAAAATATAAAAAATAATAAAGAAAATCATAAAGGAAAAGAAAGAATTAATAGAAAAAGACGTTCAATTAAATTCTAAAAAAACATCCTAAAATTCTAATATTTTTAATGTTTTTATCAAGTATTTTTATTATCAAAAATAAAATTAAAATTAAAAAAGAAAAAAAATCTAATGGAAAAGTCAAAGGTGCAGGGATAGACTCGGAGTATGAACACACTCTAAAATGCATGGGCTTTGCAAAGAAATTGTGGTTTTCGGTTAATTCATTATTTCTCTTCCTTTTCAGCCAGTTATTATTTGATATCAATTAAAAGAATTAAAAAAAGAAAGTATGAAGAAAAAGAAAGAATAAAAATTGGAACGGTGTTGTTTAGAGTGCATATTACGGTTGAGAATGTGACGATTGAACTTCTCACAAAAAAACGTTATCTTCTTCTTCTTTCTCTCAACCAAAATGCGCCGCGGACTCCCTCTCCTCTGATTTCTCACCGTCGTGCCGACACAGTGCCGCTATCAGTTATCATCTTCGTTCGTCACCGTACTTCCATTTCGCTCTTCTCCGATCCGTCTTCAATTCTCACCTCTGATGCTTTGCTTCAGGCTTTGCACTCACCATCACGGACTCGATCGTTTCGAAACAGGCGGTTATTATATGTGTTCTTGCACTTGAGAGATGTAGGGAGATCGAATAGAGTATTCAGAGGCTTTAGCTCGCTTGATTAGAGTTTCAGAGGTTGAAACTCTAACAACAATGGTGATGAGCATATAAGTGAGGTTAGGAATGGAGAAGGTGAAGAGTGAAAGGTTGAGGGAGAAGAGAATTGCATAGGAAGAAGAGTGTTGAAAGATGAGATAATTCTGAGAGTTTTGCGAATGAATCGTGGTTTGTGGAAAAATGGAGTGTGTAACTGAGATTGAAGTTAGAGCTTCTGTTACATAGGGATGGTTGAGGGTGAAGGTAGTTAGAGAAGATGAATCCTCAGCCCTAGGATCATATGAAGTTGGTCATAGAATGAAGGGTTAAGATTGATTCAATTATTAGTTAGTTAGACCAGTTTTTCTATTAGTTGATTGGATTAATTTTTAGAATTGGTTACAACCTAGGCTTGGGATCTGAGAATCTGTTATAACAATGGATGGGTGAGATTTTATTCAGCTCCAAGTTATTTCTATTTTTTTTTTTAATTCTGTTTTCCCTGTTTCCAATTTCTCTGATTTTACATTTCCTGATGCATTCTTGTTTTGTTCAGTTTGCAAAGGAAATCTCTCCGTTATTTGAATGGATTGTCATGGAACTTGAATGGGGTAACTATTTTGTTTTGAATTTCTAAAATGAGTATGGTTATTTGAATATCTTGAACTGTTTTTTGGCTTGATGCAGGTTTGGAATGCTAGCTTAAATGTTCCTTTTATAGTAACTGGTTTTCTGAGATGGCTTCTAGTGCGAAATGATTTGGCTTAATGAATTGGATATTTTCTGAAATGTAAGTTTGGGATCTATTTGACAGGGTTTTACCATGTGCAGGTCTGCTATGTGGTTTGGATATTGAGGATAGCTTGAAGCGGTTTCAGTTTATTCGCTTTTTCTACAGCTCGAACTGTTTCAGTGGGGTGCTTTATTTCTGTTTTGGATTTTCTGTTAGTGATTGGCATGTTAATTGCAGTTGGTTCGATTATGAGCAAGTTCAGGACGGCTTCATGATATTAACTGAATTGGTTTATTTTGCAGGTAGTGAACTGTTTTAAAAGTTGTACTGGTTCAGTTGGTTTTTTGTTAATTGCATATGTTATGAACTGGTTGTATGATGAGGCTGGTTTGTTAATTGATTTGAAATGGGGTTATTTGTGCAGGTTGCAGTAGCATAACTTGAAGTTGGCATAGTGAAGCAAGACTTGGTGTCCCTGTATAATAGCATGATGGAGTTTGAAAGAACATGGCTTCAGAGCATGAAGAAAGGAGTCCTTGGACCATTAGGCTTAGGTTTATTATTTTTGTGATTTATGAGGTAAAGTCTCACATTTTCTCCTTGCAATATATCTTTCTCCTTGTCTCACATTTTCTTTTGATTTTTTGTGCTTCAAAATAGCATGATGTTTGTATCATAAATGGATGAACTTGGATTGATCTTGCCTCAATGCTTGAACTTACAAGAAATTATGGATGCGGTTCAACGAAACTTGAATAAAATTACTTGAAGATCTAGATCCCATGTGCTTTCCACAACGTTGGCCATGCCACTTTCCATTTTGCTTTAGCCTTTTCCATCTCTTGAAATCACACATGAACAAGTAAATAGCCCGTGGACTTGACAAACCCCCAGATTTTGACCAATGCCTTTGAAGCAACATTTGTAAATACTTCACAATTCCACAACAATTGAATCTAAATTTATATGTGTCACGATTGACATTATCTTATCATGGGGATCCCCCAGCTCCTTGCCTTGTATTACATAGTGAAATGCTCTTTGACACCAAACTCTAATTTGTGATTCAACATCAAAATTGCTTCAGGAACTTGTATTTCAAGTGATGATAGAATGAAATTCACTGATAAAAAAATCCACGCAGAACCTCTCTTAAAGTCCACATGATTAGGGAAATAAACCCTAATTCATATGGAGACAATTAAATGGCCTCTGATACTTGGGTTTATGGCCCTTAGGGTAGTATCTTGTGAGATTAACACAGATGCGTGTTAGAGAGATTAACATAGACGAGCATTGAAAGAAGAACTTTACTGGGGATTAGTACAAGATCAACACAGACGAGTATTTATGTCAATACAAATGAGTATCGAGAGAAGATACAGACGAGTATCAAGGAATGATTAACATGAACGAGTGTAAGGATCAATACGGACGAGTATCGAAAGAAGATACAAACAAGTGTTTAGATCAATACGAACGAGTATCGAAAGAAGATACATACGAGTATCAAAGAAAGGTTTAACACGGGCGGGTGTTTAATCAATCCAGACGAGTATCGAAAGAAGATACAAACGAGTATCAAAGAAAGGTTTAACACAGACAAATGTTTAGATCAATATGGAGTATTGAAAGAAGTTACAGATGAGTATCAAAGAAAGGTTTAACACGGACGAGTATTTAGATCAATACATATGAGTATCGAAAGAAAGAATTGACACAAACGAGTGTTAGATCAATACGAACGAGTATCGAATGAAGATATAAACGATTATCAAGGAAAGATTAACATGAACGAGTGTGAAGATCAATACAAACAAGTATTTGAAGGAAGGACACAGACGAATGTTTAGAACGATAAATGATGATATGGACAAGTGCAAAGATCAATACGGACGATTATCGAAAGAAGATACAGACGACTATCAAAGAAAGAATTAACACGGACGAGTGTAAAGATCAATACGAACGAGTATCAAAAGAAGACACAAATGAGTATCAAAGAAGGACACAGACGAGTGTTTGAGCAAAGACATAGACGAGCGTTTTGAATGAGAGACACAAACAAGTGTTTTGAAGGTGATTTATTTTCTTGTATGGCACGCACGGGTGTAGAAAAACAAGTCTTTTTGAGTGAAGGAGATGTTTAGGATATCTGTCGGCTGGAAATTTGTGGGAATACCATTCTCCAGGGATACTGCTGTCTTGATTGAGGAGTGATTCAGACTTTGTGCAAGGTATCGAATATGGCTTATACTTCGTATGCATGTATGGATTTTTTCCCATGGCGTAATGATCCATTTTAATAGATACGATGCGCTTTTGAGGATGCAACGTGATGCAGTGACGACTATATGCAAGTGCAAGGAGATAAACTTTATAGGGAAAAGAACATGCTCATAGGGGGTATGTTGCTTGCTATCTTGAGATACCAATATAGATTGACATTCGGAAGCTTGTAGTACCAAAGATTATTGGGGATTGAATTGCTAACGAAGCGAGTTTTTCAGGTACGCCACTGGATACCAAATTATAGCTTTGTTGGGGAGGAATTGACTTGGTCTGACTTTCCCTACATCCTGAATTGCATGGGGATGCTAGAATTGGACATGGACACGCTGGGAATTGCATGCTGAAAGTTACTCGGCTCTCTTTAAATGCCCCGAGTCTGCTTCATGCTGGGGAAATACACCTCGAATTGCTTGGGGATCAAGAGATGGACATGGACCTCTTAAACTGCCCCAAGTTTGCTTCTCCGTTGAAGATTAGGTGACAGTCATCCGTGGGGATTACATGTTGAACCGCATATAACTCCTCGAGTGTCCCAAGTTTACTCTATTGGGGAATTACATGTTGAATACACGTGATGAACTGCTGGGATTATACTTTGAACATCTGCAAGGGATGAGAACGACCTTTGCAATGCTGGCTGGGTCGAGGAGACCATTATGACGCTACACGCACAAAGAACAACGCATAGGGTGCTACAACACTCCTTTGGGATGCTCTCATGTCAATGTAAAGTCATGTTTCATTTTAGCTTGAGATTATTATTCCCCAACATTTTCAATGCAATATTTAATAAAGAATTAAATCACATTTTGTTAGAACAAAGTTTGGTTCTAATCATATCTTAGAGTTTTGATGATAACAATGAAATAAATTTTGTGATATATATTTTATACTCTGACTTGTATGTTCTCTAAGATCAGATGAAGTTCTGTCCTACGCATCTTAGAAAGAAACAATATTCTACGCAGGTATAAAGCAAACTCAGAAGGAAGCACTCCAAAGCAAACTCTGATAAAGAGCAATCCTAAGAAACTTCTGATAAAGCTAGCTGAAGCAAAGATCTGATATAAGCACGCTGAAAGCAACATCTGATAAATGCAAGATTAAAACAAACTCTGAAGATCACATACTGAAGAATACTCCGATAGAGGAATAGATCTAGTAAACCCTGAATTAGCAACGCTGCAAGCAAACACTTCAACTTCCAGAGACAAACTCTGCCAGTACCGTTGGTTATTAAATGCTAAGACGGCTAACACACTCAAGTATACTACGCGCACTAGCATTGGAAACATAAATACCAAATCTACTCGCTACACGCATCATTGCAAACACGCTTCATTAAATGCATGCACCATAATCAGGGCATTAACAGTCAATTGGAAGCTATATATAGAAGACCTTTTGTATCAAAGAAAGGTTACTGACTTACGTAAAATATACTTACACTCACTGTTTTCATACTTGTAAACTAATACTGTATAGTGGGTAGTTCTTAAGTATTGGGCAACAATCTTAGTGAAAAATCACAGTTGTGATAAAGCTTTTTAGAAGCAAATCTTTTTCACTACTATTAAGAGACAATTTTGTAAGTGTTCCTTGAGAGACCAGTTGGGTCAGATTTCTCAAGAGGGCTAGGACTAGTTGAGTCTTAGAGGTTTTAGTCACTTGCAGTTAGCTTGTGCATTGTATTGTTAGTCACACCAGTTTGGTTGTGCGCTTGTAATCAGCTTGATTATAGTGGATTAAGTCCTCGTTGAGAGAGGCGAAATCACATTGGCGGGTGGACTGGAGTAGTTTAAGTTTCAAACGAACCAGGATAAAATTAACAGTGTCCTTCCATTAGTATTACGCTAGAAAAGAAGAAAAACTTATTCAACCCCCCCCCCCCCCCCCCCCTTTAAGTGTTTTCCCAACCTTCAATTGGTATCAGAGCACTAGTTCTGGGTGCAAACACTTAACAGTGTCAGAAAAAGATCCAGAAGGAAAACACTATGGCATCTGAACAAAACAACAACAATTGTACCAAACCTCTTGTGTTTGATGGAGAAGACTTTGAATACTGGAAGGATAGACTAGAAAGTTTCTTTCTAAGTCACGATGCTGATCTATAGGATTTGGTCCTTGACGGGTACACTCATCCAGAAGATAAAGACGGAAACAAAATTGATAGAAGGAACATGGATAAACAACAAAAGCTAGATTTTAAGAATCACCACAGAGCCAGAAACATCTTTCTGAACGCTATCTCGAAAAATGAATATGAGAAAATCACCAACAGAGATACGACACATGACATGTTTGAATCCCTTAAGATGACCCATGAAGGAAATGCTCAAGTAAAAGAGACAAAAGCTCTGGCTCTCGTTCAGAAGTATGAAGTATTCAAAATGGAAGAAAATGAGTCTATTGAAGTCATGTTCTCGAGATTTCAAACTCTGATTGCTGGCTTAAGAGTTTTGAACAAAGGATACACCAAGGCAGACCATGTGAAGAAAATCATCAGAAGTTTACCCAGAAGATGGGCACTTATGGTCACTGCATTCAAAGTATTAAAAGATCTGAATAACGTTTCCCTTGAAGAACTTATCAGTGCTTTAAGGAGTCACGAGATAGAACTTGATGAACACGAACCTCAGAAGATAGGTAAGTTTGTAGCTCTTAAATTTATTTAAAAATTTGAAACTAACGCTTTTTAGGCAGAAGAAGGAAACTCTGAAGATTCTGCATCAGAAGAAGACGAGTTATCTCTGCTCTCCAGAAGGATCAATCAGATGTGAAAGCATAGACAAAAGAAGTTCAGGAACTACAAGAGGTCAGAAGATAAACCAAAATCTTCTGGACATAAGAAGTCAAGCAGAAGAGATGTAGTCTGCTATGAATGCAAAGAACCTGGACACTACAAAAGTGACTGTCCCAAGCTGCAAAGAGAAAGACCCAAGAAAAAGTTTGGTAAAAAGAAAGGCATGATGGCCACCTGGGATGATTTAGAATCATCTGAAGCTGAATATGACTCAAAAGATGAACACGCTAATCTAGCGTTTATGGCTACCACAACAGATGACTCAGACTCTGACTCAGAACCAAAAGAGGTATTCTCTGAATTCTCTAGAACTGAACTTGCTGAAAGCCTATCTGAACTGCTTGAAAGC